ATATGTACATAATAGTCCCCTACTTTAGACTATCTGCTCTTGGCTAAGTCTGTATTTCAAGATCCAACATGCACATATAGCACGTGCAGTTATGTCTTGCTTACACTCTATAGTTTTATAAGATCTAGTAAGTGCTTATGCTGCATTTTTCTTAACCTTGCCAGCTTATAATAAAAACTTATTTTGATTTTATTCTATGACGATTAAGATATGTTTACAATAAAAAAAACTGAATATAATTTTGATTTTGTGTGGAACGGTCGAAACAACATAAATTTACGATTTTGTATGTGTCTTTTTTGTTTGTGTGTGTTTTTTTGTTTTTGTTTTTGTTTTGTTTTTGTTTTTTTGTTGTTGTTTTTTTTTGTGAAAAAAAAATCATCGTTTTTTTTAACATAAAGTGTAGATCTAGCTCTAGATCTACTTATAAATTATTAAATATAGATCTATCATGTTTATAATTTTAGATCTAGTTGCTTTTAAAATGGTTTTAAATTTATACGAATTATATTTTCATTGTTCATCTAACATGTCTTATAAATAGAGGATAAATTGAATGAGTGTAAGTTCAATACTGAATTTATTGCACGAGTTGTGAATAAAATTATATTATCGCTCATTCTCAATAAAACACAGCATTTGATGTTCCACTGGGTAGCTCTTATACGAAGGTTTTTCTTGAGGTCAAAATGTCGTTAGAAAGGTGGCTGCTACTTTGTCTAATAGGGACACACTCAGTTTTACATTCCTATCTGTTATTTTTCTTTTACAAGTATCATTAATGCCCTAAAATGTAACATACGTTACTGTCGCCACCTAGAATTTTCAACTTTGAAATTGTGTTTCAGAAAAATAAGTTCCAGAATAAACGAAACATGTGCAATTAGTCATTGCTGTGTGTATATGCACTTTGATTATTGGTAAAAATTATATTTGACTGTTAAAATCTCATTGGTATAATGGATGATCAAATGTCGCCAAATGCATATAAATAAATAGTGACAAACCTAAAACAATAAGAAGTGAATCCCAAATTACATAATTGAATCGATGCATGCTTAATAATACAGCATATATATAATTATAAGTAAAAATAAGCTTGCAGCCTCTCAAATATCATTCTATTTTCGGAAATTTTCATTTTTTATTCAAATCTTTTCAACAGCACTTTAAAAAGAAACATACGTTACCATTATTTAAGAGCCAATCCATTCAAAGAAGAATCCAAACAAGAAAGAAAATTAACATGTGTGTAACTCTGATATATTAACCACAAATTATGGCGGCTTAAACGGTCTTGCGTCATTTTTAACCCACTTTCAATGTAAAAATGAAACATACGTTACAGAAACATACGTTATCAACTTTTTAAAGTAAGTTTATCAAAAGGGAAATTGAAGTCAGAAAGCACGTATAACATCAACATTAAGTTCTATTTGACCTTAGTAAGTAAATTTTGTTTACTTTCGTTGTTTTTTCACTTGTTTAAGTAACCACAGTGAAACAAACGTTACTTTTATCAAACAGACTTTATATTGTTTACACATGCATATATAAAAACATAAAATCGCATTTTTATGACAATAGAATGATGTGCATTTGATTCCTAAATAAAAAAGTCGATTTTACATGTAAGTTTAAATTCCGTGATAAAGTTCATAAATAAGCGAGTGTGAAACATACGTTACTCCAACTTACAATTCAACAATTTTTGAAAATTAAAGATAAAGTTAGGATTAGCATGCCTGTTAGTAACCGTTACCTTGTATTAGATGTAAGAAGACACAAAATTGTTTTTACAAAGGAAAGATATGTTAATAATATGTTGATGTACCAGCAGAAATGTTAAAAATATATTACAAGATATTGATGTTCTCAGCAACAACTAAATCGTTTCTGCAAAGAGCTTACTGGCCGTATTTCATTCTATATATAATAATGTTAAAATAATATCCATATATATAAATTATTTTACAAAAAATAAAATTGTTTTCTCAACCTTTACTTGCATTTGAATAAAATGAAACATACGTGACATCCTATATGGGGATAAATATCTAACTGTTTAGTACTAAATTTTCCAAATATTAAGAAAGTGGAAAGTTGAATATTTTGAGAAAAAAAGTTGCTAATACAAAATTTGTGTATGCATTCGACCTCTCATATATTATATATGATATATATCCTTTGAATGAAGACATAAAATAATCATTTTCAAAATTGACTATTTTTGCTTTCTTCGAATATGTAACTTTGAAAAAAATTGACTGAAATTAGCAAGGTACCCAACTTCTTTGAATTTTCCTGGGTTAGAAAGTCCCTCTAGATAGAGAATTTACAGATTTTGATATATTTTACAGACATTTGGTATTAATATGCAGCCAATATGTTACATTATTAGATCTGAAATCTACGTTACCGAAGAAATACAGTGTCATTACCGAAATAAATGCCATCCTGTTATATCATAGTTTCTTGTTCAAAATATTTCTGGCAAACTTGCAAAATACCCTAAACTTTTACTTCAGCGATAAAAAATGACACAATGACAACATCAAATTTTTAATATTTTTCAACCTCAAATGCTTTATTTTATTGAGAATGGGCGTTATGCGAGCCTCTGTCGAGCATAGATCTAATATTACTTTATTCAATAAATTCAGTAGACTTCTAGATCTAATGAACTTGCACGAATTAAATATTCTATTTATCACATAGAGATCTACCAAAAATAAAACCGTTTAAAGTAAAAAAAGTAAAGAGTCATTTTTCATTGACAAGCCTATAACATAAATCAAAGTGCTGCAGCACTGAATGCGACGGACATGCAACCGGAAAGACATTAATTAAGGCTTCTTTTAGAAAAAAAACCAAAACAAAAACAAAACACAAAATATATAACAGAGAAAATTTGTTCCATACAAGTTCGAGATTTGTAGAGCAATATATTTTGTGTCCCAAATTGATATAATTCAGATTTTCTACTTTCAAGCACTTAAATACAGAATGAAATTTATGCCTAAAAACTCTGGTCAAACTTGTAAATCAGTGTCCTTATCGATTTATTCTAAGAAATGATATGTAAATAGAAAAAAAAAACTATCAACGAAATATTTCTAGAATAAATCCAGGCAAATAAACTTTAAACATGATACAATTTATACATTTGAGAATGCTATTTAGAATTGCTTCGTGTTATATCATAGTGGGCATACAGACAATAAAATATAAGTCATTTGTATTTGTATTTCTCTTGGATATGTCTCATTAAAAAAAAAATGGTTAAAATCATCAGCAATTAATAGTGTATTTCTTAGATTTTTTTATTTACAAGGTAAAGATGTAGAGGCCAGAGCACATCGTTTTTATTTTAATTTAAATGTCACTTAAGCACTACAGTGTTTAGTTGTCCTTTTCAACTTCACACTAAATTCCATTTTCAACTTGTTTGCTTCTTACAATTGTATAGCATTTCTAAAAGTATTGCATTACAATCCGCTGGTTTATTAATTACATGTTTAATGTGTACTTCCTAATCGCCTGTCCAAAAATCAGAACAGGTGAAGCAGAATCTATTTTTAGAATAGCGAAGGTTAACTCATATCATGACCTAGTAAAATATGTAAACAAACCACAAGAATCGGAAGTAGAACTAGTATTATAACTTCCTTACCATGAAAGACTACATGGCGGTAAAGTGTCTTACATGCATTTTCAAAAATAGATATTTATACTAGCCATTGTACTGTATCTAATATATTAATAACTGCTGAATATTCAGCTAAACCCGCGGTATGAGTCACGAAAATAGTTCTTCTTTTATTAATGCGCGAGTTATCCTAGAGTCACGAAAAACTTTTGATTTGTTAATAATAATGTTTTGTATAATGTAGAAATATTTATTTCCTACTAATAATGTCTTGGAACTCAGAGGTTACACCTTTATTGTAGTATAATTTGCTGTCCTACTTTTTCGACAGCGGTAAATCGTTTCAGCAGTAATTTGCATATTGCGCAATAATACTACGGGACTACAACGTTTTTATCAATAATATACGTTCATATTTTAACTTGGATAACTTAATTTGAAATTGAAAAGGCTAAATATGGAAGACATTAAGATATCCAGACAAAGTATGGGAGTTTTGAAGGGTCAAATTCATGTACTATTTCTTGGGCTGTTAATTGGTTTAGGACACATTGCGCGAGTGTAGCCAACGAAATCCCATGTGTAGATGACTTAGCTCTGAACGCGCCTGAGGGCGCGTCCGTCGCAAAAATGATAACGCTAACATTAAGCGCGTCCTTACACTATGTTTGTATAACGCTATTGACATCACGTCAATTTAAAAATATATGCAATACCATTTTTTACGGAGTCGCAAAATCGGCACGGGTGTGTGATAAGTTTATTTTCTTAACATCTTATTTACGTGAACATATATAGATCTAACTTGATAACTATAAAATAATAATGTGGATATATAATCTATTTTCAAGGAAACAGAGAACTAATAGCTAAAATAATAGATTCTAAATAGTGTCATCGCACAAAATTGACGTCATGTTGAAAATATTATTCGACTATATAGCATGACGTCAAATCTGTTATGACGTCATTTGAAACCAGTTACGTCATAAGTTAGTGCGCTGATAAAATCTCCAAATTCTGTAAAGATGTTAAACTTTTTGTACTCGAGAACAAGACTAACTTCAATTTTAAGTACGACAAAAAATGCCCAATCCTCTCATGGATTAGATTTTTTTTATATTAGATCTATGAAATCTTAGAAGTAGTCTAGTAGATCACCCTAACACGGGCATGTGCTGGCAAGTTAGAGGTTTTTACGATGTTTCTTGTTTGCACCAAGGTGGAATAAATAATATTAAGTTTGTCACACCTAAGTTGCTGTAGTAGTCTCCCTGTCCGCCCGTCACGTAAATTATTTCGTTTAAGAAGTTTTTGCTTACAGTGTTTACCAATTGGCATCTACAGTTGTCACGTGATCAATACAATCTGTTGTTGGGGAGAAGTCGCCATTTTATACTGTCCTTGGCTTGAAATCGAAAAATGTTAAATTAAAAGTGTATTTATGAATAATCATGACACAGTTGGAAGTTCAATTTCACTTGGATTGGTTGATTAACCTTTTGGTAGCTAATACAACCATGTCAGCGGAATAAACATTACCTGTCTTTAATTTTTGACCAGTTATTTTTGTGTTCATGGCAGGAAAAGTCGCCAAAGTTCAGGTTGCAAAATTCCCTATGCACGATTTTAATGATGCAAGTTACATAGAAAAACGCCAGTCTGGAGGCTGGAATATGGAAGAAAATGATGTCCTTGATCAACTAAGAGACCAGAGATTCCAGAGACGTGTAGAAATTTTAGAGCAGTTGCTGATTACTGTAAGAAGAAATGGTGGAAAACTTCCATTTTCAAATCAACAATCCATATTCAGGGGACTTGGTTTGGCTCTTTCTGACTCAAATTGGGACGTGAGATTAAAATGTATTCAGTTAATAAACGAAGTTATACCTCAGTTTGGGGATGGATTAGATTCCTGCATGTCAGAGGTGATGGGAAAGTTAATTCCAAACATTGGGGAAAGCAAAATAACAGTTCGGAGGGCCGTAATACAGACACTTCATGTGTACATGAAGTGCACAAATCATGTTCCATCATTGCTGCGGGCTATTGTACATTTTGGGCTAGAAAATGATGATACAAGAGTCCGAAAAGAATCCATAGTTGCATTGCCAATGCTTTTCACACCAGAATTTGCAAGAGAAAATTTCTTTGAAATTACACAGTCACTGGCTAAAAAGTTGCTGGACACATCAATGGAAGACAACTTACGTGATTGCTCATTAATGACATTAGAGAAGATAAAAGCTTTGGTTGGCGACAGAGAATTTAATAATTATCTACACAAATTGTCTCCACCATTAAGACGCTACTATTTTCAATTAACCGGGCACAATGAGGCTGATCAAGTTGATTCCCCAATGAAAGGTAATGTCGGCAATGGATCTAGTAATTATTCTACTCCGAGACAAGCCCCATTTTCTAAGGCCACCAGGGTGAATGGTTCAATGAATTCTGTACAGCAACAGCCACAGCAACATTTGCACCAGGCTCAGTATGTAGATTCCTACGAGTTTGGAATAATCCCTAGTCATGTTATGAGTCAAATTAATGACCAAGAAAACTTTAAACTTCGGGCAAAAGGTGTAGAAGAATTGCGAAATATCATGTATGATTTGAGTGAAAACGATGTTCAAAATAACCTTATGCCACACATGATTTCATTCATCAGTTTCTTGAATAATTTGTTAGACGATTCTAATTTTAAGATTACAACTGTGACGTTAGAAATATTGTGCATATTAGTAGAAAAGTTAGGCAAGAATGTGAAACAGTATCTGAAACCATTATCTTTAACACTAGCTAAGAGGATGGGTGATAATAAGATTGTTGTGAGACAGGCAGTAATGAAAGTTGCTATCAAGATGATGCAGAGTCATTCTGCGAAACCAGTGCTATCTGTGATATGTGAAAATCTTCAGCATAAAAACTCTAAAGTAAGACAAGAGACGCTTAACATTATTATAGCGGCATTGTTGACTTTTCCAAGTTATGCATTTGATCTCCCAGGTGTTTGTAAAATGGTCGCGCCCACATTGACTGATGGTAAACGTCAGGTGCGACAGGCAGCACTTGAATGTCTATCTGTGATTGCACAGGCCATGGGTCCTGGCCGGCTGGGACCTTTGGTTCAAGTTGTTGATCAAGTTGAACTGAGTAATGATGGTGAAGGTGTTATGGGGGCAGTGCAGGCACGTCTTGCAAGGCGACAGTTACCGAAATTGAACAGTGAGGGTTTGGTTGAATATGCCACTCCTGTGCCTTCCTCAGCATCAACACGAAGTTCAGCAAGTTTTCAGGTTCAAGGTGCTGATGTTGAATGGATTGTTGGAGGATCTCAGAGTATGAGAGGCCTCTCAAGGTCTGATACAATGGAGTTAGAGTCAGTTACATCCACACCAACTCCGACTGGAAATCCTGGTGAATCAAATGGTCGACCATTTGTAAGCTCTGGAAAAGGAAGAAAAAAGCTGCCATGGGAAGGAGAGTCAAATGGACAGGTATTTTACAAATTGATAATTATATGTCACTTTAAATTTCATAATGATATATATATATCACAATATTTTGTCAATCATTTATAACTTGACTACCATGAGGAAATAACAGGGCCTGCAACTTTTCTTTTTAATTTTGTTGTTTTAGACTTTCTAAGTTTCTTCCGGGATTTTCCCCCCTTTTGATTTGAATAGAGGCATAAATCTTGTTTAATCAGAGTACATACTTTGTGTTGGTGTTACTGACTGATAAGGGTATAAAATAATTCTTTATTTTCAAAAATGACTAACATAAATGTTGTTATAGTAAAAACTCTATGATAGTTTAAAACGTTTGACAGACTATAGAATTAATCCAATAATGTTTCATATTAGACATGATTGTTTTTTCTCACCTTATCAGAGGGTGATCATGTTTTAAATTTGTAGCTATTGACAGTTTCACAACTCCACTAATAGCCATTCATTAGGATTGTCAGTTTTGTTTCATGACAATCAAACTGGTATTACCCTGAAAGGTAGATGTCTATGCATGTTTCTAGGCTGAAAAAGTTTCAATGTTAGGTTTTCTTTGTTTACATGTTCTATGGACTTAATTGAGTACAATAAATGAATGTTGTAAACAAATTGATTTATCCAAAATAATAGTATTTTTTTTCAAGGAAATATCAAAACTGATCCTGGCTGGCTGCTTATCCATTTAGTTACATTTGTATATCTAAAACCATTCAAAGTAAAATTTAACTTTGTTTTTATCAATTCTGTCTTAATAATTTACATGTACATGAATGGAAACATTTATTTATGAAATTGTTCGTAAAGAAATTATTCTGTTTTTATGTTTTGGTCAAATCCTTATACACAAAATCTTTTTTAAAATTTAGAAAGTTAATTATCAGTTACATGTACATTTGAAATTTTATGTTATTTTAATATTTTAATATTTATACTTAACACACCACAAAAGCTCATAGTTTTTTTTAAAACAAAAATTAACAATTAGTACAAAACACACCACAAAAGCTCATAGTTTTTTTTAAACAAAAATGAACAATTAGTATGAAATGATATGGATGTGGACCGTCCGATAACTCGTTTACATAATCATTGCCACTGATTGTGTACTGAAATTTTGCATTGTTGATGTTTTAATGTAATTAAAGTAATCTAAATGTATGAAGAACTCTGGATGGCTGCTAGTGAAACAACTGTCAAATAAATTTTTGTATGACAGGCAGAGATATCGTCTGAGGCAAAAGATGTTTCAAGTTATTGAAAAAGGAGACGCTTTTCATATAAAGAATGCTTTTGTTATCATTGTTTATCAAGGGAAAGTTTTAACATTAGAGTCTAAAATCTCTTAGAAACATGGTTATGTAAATTAGCTTCTGTGACAGTTGACTGTGTCAATGCAGTAGATTGTGTGTATTTAAACTCTGGCCCCATTGTTCATTTCATGCTCAGTCTGTATTTGGATGATCGTCTATTATGCACGTTAAAGAAACACAACTGCTCAACTTTTTAATACACGCAGATCTAAAAACTTTAAACTATAGAGCCATTCTTGTGTACAGAGGTGTAACGGTGCTACATAAATGGTTTGAAAATATTTTCCAATACCTGATACAGAATCGGTTTAGTTTTGTTGATAGTATATTGGCAAATTGTCAGAAAGATTGAATGTTCATAAAGACATTTATGACTACGAGGTATCATAATCGTTTGAAAATGTTATTGAAATCCCAGACAACAAAATTAATGTTTAAAAGATACAATTTTAATGGCGACTGAAACTGTTCATTGAAAAATGTTAAAGTCTAGAATTAATTTTTAATCAACTATGTTAATTTGCGTCTGCAGAAAGAGCATTTTATAGTAAAACTAAGGAAAAATTTATTGACATATAATAAGAATTTTATTATGATATATTGATATTTGAATTGGGGTTTATTGGTGTGCAGGTACTTGTATATATATAGATAAAAGTAACTAACACTTTTATTATACATGTATATAGAGTCCTGTATCTGGAGCATTTAATTAGCAGGGGTGGTCAAATCAGTTGTCTATATTGCACAAGTTGTTCCAAAATAACAATATAAAATAATGTATAAGCACTTAGCAGTCCAATATTTCATGTCTTTTTTCCATAGAATTTAATGCATTGATCAGACACTTTCCTGTCCTATGTGTAACATGTACATTTGGTAGTTCTTAGAGCAGAAAATATAAACAGCCAAAGCTTTAAAAGGTGACAGTTGTTCGGACAACAGTGTATTGACCGAAATAACGTTGCTATTCAAAGGCCAGTAACATTATTATAAATGTTTGCTTTAACTATTCTGTAAAAACATTTACTATAAATGATGTAACTGCTGCAACTATGTCTTAACAATGAATTGCTATGAAGGCCAAGGTCGTAATTTATTCTATCTGTTTTTTACGTTCTACGAGTCACGTTCTTTGCTCCAAGTATCATTAGCAGAATTCTTGTGATCATGTAATCTATTGGCGTAATTCTTTTACTGAACCGTGAGATCCTGTGACGCTTTTGTGTGTTATTTGAAAGTGTTTTCCTTTCATATGAACTTCACGACCTGTTTGCTATAGATGTTTTACACGGGTACAAATCAATACGGTTAGACGCAAGCTTAGAAAGAAAGTGAATAGAATTCTTTCCTCACGATATAATTTTCGATCAGTAACTCAGATTCACTTCATCTATAGAAATTAAAATGAAATATGATTTATACGAATGGAGCGAAAACCCATTTGTATGCAGGAAGATACGTTATACTCTTTTTAGCACATCCAAATATGCGTTTAATTTAATCAAGATTGAATATACACCTTGATAGAATATGCTTTCCTTTTGCAATTGTTGTTGAACAAATACGTAATATATGGTTATTCATATATAATTGGAAGGCTTTTTATTTGATCAAGTAGTGTGTAAGGATTAGAGCTTTCTTTCATTTTTCCTCCGTTTTTAAGAAGATAGGGTATGCCGATCCACTTCATAGAGACGTTTGCATTTATCCGAGCTATAAAGGAATACTTGTGTCCCATTTCAAAAGATGAAGACTAGGGCGTTTGATCCATTAATTGGGTGTATTTGAGTTTTGAGTAACATTTTTTTTAAGTTGAAGGGCAGTGGTAACAAAAGTATAATAAAAAAATGTTAGAGTTGAGAATTGATTTATAGGAGTACATGTAAGGTCGCAAAGGACCATGGGATTTCTTGAAAATTGGAGTGAAATTTTAGCTGGTATAGAACCATGCCCAGATTGTGTAAGTATAAGTATTTAAGTTGTGAAGATTGTTCTTTCATGTTAGTAACTGTGGTTGCGGGATTGTCGTCTCTTACTGTGAAGTAAGTCATAGTATGATACTGTATCTGTTTGTAATGTATGCGATTTTTATGTTCATTTTTTTGTGATGAAGTCCACAATCTATTGGTTGTTTTAAATGTTTTGTGTTGTATTGTGGCCAATAAAATACATTTTAATACATGTTAATACTGATGTATTTTCAGTCTGAAGGACCGCCAAAGCCTCGCCAGACGTGGTCGAATAGCGATGACAGTCATGACATCTACAACAAGAAGCCCATCATCAAGCGGCGTACACAGCCAATTGTTTCACAGTCCCCAGACGACACCCAGCAAGAATGTAAAATATTTAATATATTTCTTTATATTTATTATTCATTTAATATATTTATATTCATTATTGATAGTCACAAGTTACATGATCATGTAACATTTTGCTCATATTGATAATTTACTTAACAAACATAATAAGTAGTAACATTAATATTTGTACATGCCAGACTAAATGAGAGTCTATATCCACCCTTTTAGGCACATTTAGTAAGTTAATATACATGTAACCCTGCTCACCCCCCAACCCTCTCTAAAATACTGTATAGTTCAGCTTACATACATGTACATTGTTGTTATATTACTTTCACATTGTCAATGAATTGACATAACTAAAGTGGTTATAACACAACCTATGAAAGAAAATGTGTCTTATTATGGAGTTACTGTAAAACATGTTTTTCTATGTGTTTGGACTGAGAAAATTTCTTTATGACTTTGGACTTTGATTGTTTCATAAAGTGTACTGGTTACAACAGAGGCTCTTAAGTTTCTTAGAAATTATCAAACAGGTTGATAAAGTTTCAGGAAAATTTTAAAATAATTTGAAGATAACTCAAACTGTCAAGATAACGAACACAATTTAAATGATTTTGTGACAAATTTTGATTTCAGTTTTTTTTTAACGTGATCAAACATGATTGATTTATCGTATTCATGATCGTTTAAGGATTAACCTGTAGATTATTTATCATGTAAAAGATGGTAATTTTTTTATTCATATAAGTATATATTTACACTATTATATATATGTATAAAAAGTCTATTGAAAGAGCGCTGTTTATGTTGAGAACTTAATTTATTGAAGCAAACCTGTAGGTTGTTGATCAATATTTCATGAGATGTTTCTCATATTTCACCTTGAGATTTCTCCGAGATAAGTTTGACCCTAGTACACTGTTTAGAAAAGTAGTAGCACTTGGATTGTTTTAAAGTACCTGAAAATAATGTTAATATTGCTGAGAGTTTAAGTCATTTCAAAGCAATTTCAAAATTATTATAAATACTTGTGAAAAAAATGATACTGTTGTAATTGATAAAAATGTTGGCATTAGCTTCGTGTATATTGAATTTTGTTCAATAAATTGGTGTTTAAATTATCTGACTGTGCTCATTGTTATGCTAAAATGTCCGACAGGTTGAACATTTACTGAAATGGAATATTTTCCTTTTCTGTTTAATCCTTTTAATATTTAAAGGGGGATTAATATTAAATATTTAAAGTCTTAAGTACATGATTTCTTACCCCCAGACTTTGCTCTATGACTTGGCTATTTGTCCCATGTTATAAGTGCATGATAGGACACCATATGTAAAGCAATGCAAATTTCCCATTTTGGCATTTCTAAGTGCTCTTGAGTGGTATTCATCTTCTATATTTTGCAGATCTTGCATAATGAATGTGTAAACATATTCATACAAATTAATTATGAAATTTTTTCGATTTTCAAAAATGCTATTGTAGGGCCATTGAAGGGGGTTTTGAAAAATAAACTAAACTTAACTGCAAACTTTCCATATTAACTTTGATTTATAGTAAACATGTTCTTCAGTGCTGATAAAAAATAGGACCTAGTAAAATGATTTGTTTACAGTTCTTAGTTCCTTTTGTGATTTTGTTGTGCTGAAGAGTTCTTCCTAGTTTATTTAGTGCAATTAATCTTTATTAATGCAAATAGCAAATCAATATGGTATGAGCATATATAAAGTAATTATTGAGTTTATGATACTGCAATACTTCAATGATACAAAATTATGAACACCTGTGATTTATTGTTAATTCTGCATATTTATTGAAGTTCTTTAATGTAACAGTATTGGATGCTAGGTGTAACAGTGTAACATAGTAAAGCAGTTTTGCAATGAAAGAGCACTGAGTGGAAAATAGATTTTGTATCTTCCTTCTAAAGTGTGGGTGGGAGGAGAGGGGTCATAAAGATTTTAGATTTATCTTTGCTGTTTTCTGTTGTCACGCTTTCCATTGACTGAAAAGGGTTAACTTGCGACCTATTTCTAGTTTAACTTATTTCTAATTTTGTGTTGTTTTTTGCAGCCTCATACAAACAGATTCATCTTACAAAGTTGAGGAAGACCCAGTCTTTGAAATCCACAAATTTCCGTGGCCTTGACCTTGCGGTACAAAGTGACAAAGGTAGGTCATTGTCATTTAGAAGGTGAAGGTCATTTACACCAGACAAATACCCATACTAACAAACTTAAGGTGAAGGTCATTAACTACTTGGTAACTATGACTACAAGTTATTAAACAGTGTAGAGAACATATAATTTTAGATAAAAGTAGTTAAGTATCAGTAAAGTATAAACTTTTCCCTGTGGAACAAATTATTACATTCTGATTTTTTACTGAAAATTCCATTTGACACAAAAGATTGCATTTTGATTTCTAATGAACATTTTCTTTGAGACAAATTTTTACCTTTTGTTTTCTTTATGGTAATAAATAAAAACCACTAAGAATTATTCCTTTATTTTTTTAAAATAGAATGATTATAAAAAGAGGAAAAAAAACAAAAAACAAAAAAACTTTTGAAATTGATTTTTATAAAGCATATAATTATTTCTTATATAGTAATTAATTTTATAAATCTGACACACCAACTTAGTTTTTCTTCCCATAATAACAACAGAATGTGATAAAATGGAGAAGAAAAACTTAAAGTTTCTGGGTTAGATGTTAAATACTATGTAAAGATTTTGAAACCATTAGTTTCTGTAGGTGTTGATATATGTTTATTAACCTGTACATCAGTAAATAAACGTAGCGAATAGTAATAATGATAAATAAACAGAAAGCGTGGAATATAAAGACGTTTTTTTTTGGTGAAGGTAAATAATAAATAAGAATAAGTATGAGTCAAAGCAAATATTCACTTTATTTCAATAATAAAAAAAAGTTTAATACAGAAAAAAAAATCACAACGAAGCACTCCTAAAATATGTTTTTGTGTATTGTATCTTGCTCGAGAAGACTCGAGTCGAGGGGAGAACGATTATTGTTAATCATTCATAGACATTTTCAAGTGGAAAAAACTTGTGTTTAAGTCCTGGTTAAGGTTATTATGTAGATTTCTATTTGTTCTATGCTAATTTCATTCTCGTGTTGTGTCGGTTGGCCGGTAATAAACAATAGCTGCTTAGAGATATTTGTTTATTTATTTACTAATTTAGAATAAAATAAATATAAAAAGAGAAGATGGCCATAAAAGTTTTTAAAAATAAGATTTTTTATAATTTATTCAGTAATGATGTCATAGTCTTTAGTCGTTACGAAAGGACTTTTTCATTTGTAAACAGAAGAGGTCATCAATCAGAATATTAATTGTTTGTGATAATTCATTGTGAAAGGGGTGTGACTAATTCTTAGAACCACATCAACTAGCACTCTCTTTAAGTGAAAGTGGTTGGTGCAAGTTGCTTACCGCAATAAATTTTTTTCACGGCTACTTTTTGTCAAGAGGTAATTCATAAAAAAATATATAAAAAAAACAACAACAAACTTTAAAAATGCTACACGACTGGGTGATTTGAATTTTTCTCCGGGCTATTTTATAATTTGCAGAAGGTACTGAGGAACAGTTAATTTCAATAAATTACAATAATAAAATAAAAATTAGCATAAATGACCCTGTTTTTAACCTGTTGAAGAAAGCATTTCATACTTTATATATATTATATTATTACAAAGTATTTTGACAATCCCAAAATATGTGTTCACATTTTCCTATATTTCTTTAAGGTGTTTAAGCATATTTTTTTCGCTAATATAGAGAAAAGGCATTAAAATTTTGTCATATATTCAATGTCATTTGAAAATTTTATTTAATGTTCATGGTTGTAAGGTCATCGCATGGGTTGATCTCTTCCTATTTAGTATTACCTAACACTTTTAGACTGAACATTACTAATTTCTTTATTCATTGGATTAAATGGAGCGTACTCAAATTTCACAGATTTTTACACGAATTTTCCATTATTATAGAGACTATATAAAGATTTTATGTGGTTAAATACATGTAATGATTTAAGTTGACTTTTTGCGGTTATACTTTGTTTGCGATAAAGTCTATGACATTTTGTTACTTTTATATCGAAAGGTGTCTTAGTACAATCATTCTCTTTATGAAGGAGTGAATAATGTTGTACAGCTGTGTGGATAAGGGCCCGTCTAAGGTCAAATTGGGTTATTTGTTCGCTCTAATGGTCTAGTGTATCGTAATTAGTTTGATTTCGAGGTTTTATTTGGACGGTCATCATCTGAAGAGAAAATATGTAAAACAGGTCAGAGTAGTTGAGTCAATATTGACATTTATTACTTGTTCTAAATATTCTTGTGAAATATCGAGTGTAAAAGATTATGAAAGTCAGTCGGCAAATAATCTTAACCTGTATGTCAACTGGCCACTCTTTGTAATGGAAAGCATTAATTTATACAGACATATTTTACTTTCTATTTTCATTCTGCCCGTCATTTAAAATCCTATTTTTAGGTCAGTAATTATGTCACAAAATGTGTGCTGATAATGAAATTTTCAGGATCGTGAATTTTGTACTAAAATACTTTCTGACAAAATTTTTTTACATTGATATATTACACCAATGTATTATATGAACTTTGAAATCTAAACTGTTATTTGATTAACAAAATCTGAAAGTCATACAGGCAAATACTCTATGGGCTCAAAAGTTTTTAACAATATGTCTAAAAGCACAGCTAAGTTTGCCGTTAGCTTCGGGTAATTTCGGAGGATATTTTCGTTTCCATTTTGCTTCAGTCATCATTTCCAGTAAAGCAATTTAAGCAAAATAGTTTGTTACTTAGACCTTACAGTACTGAATAATTTATGTTGTTAAAGGAAAACAAATGAAACTGTAAACAACTTATTTATATTTAATGACCCCCACCCACTCAGGAATGATCATCAAAAACAACAACAATAGATACATCATAGATATATCATCAATAAGTCAATGATACCAAGTGTTTCCTCTAAAAGCTATATAGTCGTTCTGTCCTACAAGTTTTATTGTCAAACAACTCGGTTAGTATTTAATTGATCATGTATGAAGGGAAAACAATATTATTGACGTGTCTGCTAACCATGCTATGTATTGACTTAGCTCTTTATGAATTATTTCCGAGGAATTTTACTCTGCCAATTACATAGAGGTTAGCATTTTAGAGTTGCTTCCCTTTAAGATGCTGTTGATGCTGAATAATTGTTCAAGAAGCGAAATGTGATAAAAAATTTTGTTCTATTTGGACGTTAAAAATTACCTGTAATTTGAGACGGCCGATATTCACTTTACCCTATGCAATAAACAGTGACTAAGAGATTATACATGTCAACTTGATATACGTTTTTGTATTGTCATTTTAACTTCAATGTAAATTGAAACAGTCGATTTGTAAATTGAAACTTTGCAAGGTTTAGAACAATTTAACAAATCAAGTATCAAAATAAGCTAAAAGATATGATTGGGACAGAAATATCCACCTAATGCCAACTGATCTTAGTCCTTTGTGTCAACGATTTAACATTAGTAATATTTTTTATTTCTAATCTGGCATATTTCCAAAAATACTGATAATTGTTAAATGCAGGTAATTAAAGCTTACTTAAAAAAAAGAAAAGAAAACAAAAGTGACATCCCATATTTTTATTGTAACAAAGAAAATAGAAAAAAAATTATGTTTCAATTTTTAGTATGATAATTCAAATTATTTTTTTATAAAATTTATTATAAAATATCAACTCCCAGTGCTGCCTATAAAAGTTAGTATTCATTTAAAATGTGAGAAGGACTTTTTGTCCGCCGCCCACCTTCTTTTATTAAACTGTCTTATCCATTAGCATATGTAAACCATGTTAAGAGTACTTCATCTGGGAGAGCTGGGCCACAGAATTGAATATTTGATTTGAACTTAATTTATCCCAACATTTCAATGACTATGAAATTGCACTTGAAAGCGCCATTAAACATTTAACGTTTTTTCACTTTTTGTCCGCGAGGTTCTGAGCTTGCCACGAAAAACTTGTTACAAGTCATTGTTTATGTTTAAAGTAGTTACAACACTGTGGTGTTATTGACATAAAAATTATACGTATTATTTACTTTCCATAAATTGTATTTTTCTGTAAGAGGGGCCTGTCTGAGGTCAGGTACTACAAATTGTGTGAAAATATCTTTTCTTTCATGAGAGTTTTATTCTATGCTTTTAAAATCGTAAGTAGATGACGAGAAAATTGAAAAAAAAAATGAAAATAAAGACTTTTATGTAAAATCATTCTTATGTTGCGAATAAATTTAGCAAAAAATTAATGCAATTGTTTGCATAATGCAGATTCTTACAGTCAATTTACTATTATATGAACCCAAAAGAATTTTTCATATTAAATAATCCTTTCAAAAATATGCTGATTTTTTTTGTTATATAGAAAAGAGAAAGTTGACATGTGCACAAAAGAAGTTGAATTACTTGATATCGTCATACCATCATATAATTCGCAATTGAAAATTTTTTATGAAGAGAGAGTACTGCATTGGTACAATCAAATGTTTGTACAAATGCATGATTTTGTAAGTAGATACAGTACAATGTTTCGAGCTGATATACAAAGGGTCCTGTCAAGTCCTTTCACGACCCAAGTGTCATCAAGTTTAATGACAGGTTTTGCAGGTCTATTTTCATTAAAGTCCCTCTTTAAGATCCCTAGATGAGGAGAAAATAACTTTTTTTTACCTTTGTTGTCACTTTATTTTGATTTATTAATTTTTTTCTCCCCGTTGACATAATGTGAAGCAAACCTAATAGAGGTTTTGATTGTAGATGTTAAATATTAATTAAGAGTAAGTTTTTACCAGATTGTCAATGTCAGATTGTCAATAAGATACAGAAAAATGGCTTTTAAGTTCAAAGTGTAATGCATTTATAATTGATGATATATACAAATGTAATTATTTGTCCAATTTTCTTAATAAGAGGCAAGGGAATTGAAAAGAATAGGAGGTATATTGTTTATAATGGCAAAGTCAATTAGACCTACCCTAATAAAGATGAATAATTACCGTCATTTCACTTTGTGTTTTGAATAGATTTGTTGTATTTTAGTTGCTTTTTACTATGATAAA